ACTTGAGGGTGAGTAATTTATGGGCTAATTTTCATTTTTGTGTGAACTAACCCTTTAATTACTCACCCCCATGTTTTTATGAACCCATACAACTTTCATTCATCAAAACACAAATGAAATTTTTTTTTTTTTTTTTTATATATATGGGTAATTTCTGACTCTTCATTGAAAATCAAGCATGTTTATTTGAAAAGCTGTATGTATGTGCATTGATCATTATTTATTTGCAAATAAAAGCCTGAATTAAATCTGTTCCTTATATAAATTTAGCATGTCTCATTAAACCACCCAATTCATATGAATTTATTTTATTTTATTTATTTAAATTTATATCTACATGAACATTTTAAAGTGTCAAAGTTTCTTTTCGGGAAAAAGAAAAAATTTTCAGAGCAAAAAGGACCCGAACACCACATGAGGGTTAAAATACCTTCATCTGTATTATGAAGATGAATGAAAGTAATGCAGGTTTGGAACAGCATGCAGGTGAGTAAATGATGACAGAATTTTCATTTTTGGGTTTCTGAACTCTTTGAAGACAACTTTTCAGTGGATAACAACAACCCTCAGCAGCTCATTACAAAGCCACAAGAACGTACAGTACATGTCTGTGTTTGCATGTGTTTCGACCTGCATGAACTGGAAAGAAGCCTCAAAGTCCTCAACGGGGTACATCTTGACTCTGAAGAACTTCATGCCCATGATGAGGCTGATGATGCTCTGCACCACATGAGGACTTTGCTCCTTCAGCCTCAGTTCCTTCAGCTCTGTGATGAACTTTTTACGCACTGCCTGAAACCTGCACACAAACACAAATAAATAGAAATTAATTAACATGTTGAAATTAGGTGTCTAGTCTATTCACACAAGAGCTGATAAAAATTCAGCGATGAGTTTCTATCAACAAAAGTGTGTAGGAGCCTTCAAAACTAAACATGTCACATAATAGGTTGAATAAAGACTGGCTTGTTACCGTCTGTGGATTATTATAATTGTTCAAGTTCAAGATTTAAAGTTTCCCTCAAGTAAAAACAAAACCCAAAAGCAAAAGCTTGTTATATTAATGCAAACCAGCTAGATCCAAACAAGCAAGGACCACAGTCAGCGCATCATGCCTTTATCATATTATGTAAAACGGCCTCTTCAAACACTGTCCTCGGGGCAAAGTGGCTCCGCACAGGAAATCATGAACTGGAGGGGAGGTTGAGCACTGTGGTAATTCAATTTCAGGCCCTGACTATTACAGCACAGGGCTAAATTACATTATAGCTTAAACAGACAGTTTCATGTAGCTGTGAGGGAGTCTTAGCGCGTGGCGAGCAGAGAATTACAGTAACATTAAAAGCGTCAGAAGACTGTACATATCATCTGTATTTAGCTCGAGGCGAGTTAGTGTGACAGAATGACAGGGGTTTGAGGGCTTTAACTCTGATGGGAGATCTGAATGATGTGCTAGCATCAACTTCATCCTTCTGCTTTACACTTTACGTAAAATAAAACAACTTTTAGGCCACAGATATGACTGAACTCACTTCGTGAGTGTGCATCCTTTTCAACTTTGTCAAGTATTTTTTTGTCAAGGTGAATATTTAAAATGTGCAACAGACCAAAGAAGGTACACTGTAAGCTCTTTGTGGTTTTGGGATGGACTCACTTGGATTGGGCGAGGACTCCGATGACCTCAGCGAAGAGGTCAGCGATGATGTGCACATTACCAGTGTTGGGGCCTGAGTACCTGTCAAACAAACCATGACAATAATAAGTAACACAAGCAATTCTACACAAAATGAAGAAAATCTTGGTTTGCATTTCCATTAATTACAAAATTACATTTAAACCTGTTAAGTTTGGGGTCTGTAACATTTGAATTTTTCTGAAAGAAATTCATACTTTTTTCAGCAAGAATGCATAAAAAACAGCGTCAGTAAAAACTAGTTCCATTGAACTTCCTAGTCAAATGTATCCTAGTCTCCACAAAAATGGCACAACTGTTTTGTGATACTTATAAAAGTTTCTGGAGCAGCAAATCATTATATTAGAGTGATTTCTGAAGGATCATGTGACACTAAAGACTGGAGTAATGGCTGCTGAAAATTCAGCTTTATCATCACAGGAATACATTAGAATTCAAAATATTAAAAATGAAAACAGTTATTTCACAATTTGTAATATTATTTCAAAATATTAGTTTTACTGTATTTTTGATTCAATAAATGCAGCCTTGGTGACCTACCCCAAACCTCTGAACAACAATGTGTATACATACAAAATGATGTAATGTACACAATGCAATTTAATTATCGGCAGTTTCAGAAATCACACACTTGTGTGTCTCACATCAGGTTTGCATTTGTCCAGGGTACATCTGTAGAATTTGCATAGAAAAGTGTGTGTTTGCGTATACAGACTCACCCCTCTTTGTGTTTAAAGTGCTTGAATGCCAGGTTAAGGACTTCTTGTACTAAGGCATCTGGCACGGGATGAAGGGGAATCTACGGAAAACATTTCATCAACATCAACTATGATGTAAGGGTCGCTGTTTTACTTCTGGATCCCTCATACACTCTTAGCAAGTCTATGCATGTTAATGCCACAACACACCTATCGCTGACTTCAGAGACACCACACCTAAGCAATGAAACACACAAACCTCACCTGTTTCAAAACTTCCACTGAAACTAGACAAAAAATGAAGTCTATGGCTAAGTCCCTTCGCTCCAGTAGGTAGTCTTTATCCCGGTGCTGTTCATCTCTAAAGAAAGACCAAAAGAGCAGGATTCACAAGTTAGAATAAAAGCACATTTTATCAACTCCAAATAAAAAGTCACAGTAAAGAAGCACATCATATATAAGCATCTGTTGAAGCTCTTGCTGAAGAAAAGAAAAAGCGAAACATATGATGATGTGTATTTGTGTAAGATGTATATTTGCGTGTCTGCCCACCCTTTGGACTTGGTGCTGGAGCGAGGTCTGTACTCGTACGACTCGTCTTCTGTCCCGCTCTGTCTTCTGTACCAGTCAAACAACGTCCGCAACAGCGAAGGCAAACAGTGTTCTGCTATGGAGCTCATAGAGCTTATTAACTGTAACACACAAACATAGTAATACAGCTCAATGACACACTCTTCATGTAGGTTAAACACAGCATGAAATCAAATATTTACTAAATATTAAGTTAATTCATCTATTAAATGCATGTTATTGATCTTGTAACAAATGAATCATTCATGCATATGTTACCTTTGTTTTATCTTGTCATATTTAATTGAAATGCTATTTAGATCTGAATCTGTTTCACTCGGACGTACGTCACAATAAAGAATGATAATAAATAATAAATAAAACAAATAAACTGCAATAATAAATAATAGATGGCAGTGATGTTATTGTACATGATTCATCAGTGCAAGTTATTTCAAGGAGAGAAAAAAAACCCTTCCATTAAAAATTACAAACTTTCTCCACCTCTGAAATATTGGTTATTTGCAGCACAGACTCTAATTGGGAAAGCCATTTTATTTTGTCTGTAAAACCTAATGAATAAAAAACACTGTCAAGTTGATTGAAGAGAAAGATCTAAACAGAGAACAATACACAAATGGATGAAAATGGAAAGAAAAAGGAAGGGAAGCAAGAGAGATGGCAGCACATTTGAGTGCAGTCAGGTATTGATCTGTCCTATTGTGAGGGCAGGATGGGTGTAGGATGATACGTCCAGTGGTTACTCAACCTTTCCCTGCAATAACCCAGCACCAAGCATCTCTCACACACACACACACACACACACACTGAGATATGGCAGTAGAGTAGAAGTGTGTATATGCTGATGAGTGAGTGAGGGATGGTATAGTTCACTATGGTGTGATTCAGCAGAGCAGATCTCTCTGCAGTCACAACACATCACTGACTGAACATGCAGTTCCTGAGAATCGGCACAGGCAAATCCAATAGCCAAATCAGTGTGTGCGTGCTAACGCTGTGAAAAAAAAGACTAATGTGCAGAATGAAAAAGTGTGCTAGTTAAAAAAAAGTCATGTTCTGAGGTACACTGGGATCCAAAAGTCTGAGATAATTAATGAAAATACTTCTATTTTACATTTTTTTTAAAAACATTTTTCATTACATCACATTATCATAACAATTTGAGCGAAACTGTTCAACATGTCATAATATTTAGTTTGTCTTACATATGTTTTTTTTGGTTTTTTTGCACTCAAGCTGCATGAACTCCTCACATTTGTGGCAAACATTTACATGTATTCATTTAGCAGAAGTGTTAACTAAAACTATTAAAAATTGTTTCCATTAATTGAAATAAAGCTAAAATCAAATCTAAAGATTATATGAAAAACTTAATCTAAATGTTGTCTTGGCAACTAACTGAAAATAAGTTGGACTGCAATTATAAGATTACATAAAATTACTGAAACTTAAAAGGAAAGCTGAATACCATAATCGTTAATACTATAACACTATACTAGTACATAAATACTATAATAGTACAGAAATACTAAAACAACAGTTTAGCAGATGTGAAACAACTTATGAGGAACATCACAAGTGAATCGTCAAACCAGATCAACATGCTCTCCAGCATGATCTGAGATGATCCCAAAAAGCATCTTGGGCTCCAATGGAAGAAAGAACATCTGACCCTCTGTACAAAGAGTCGCATGCTCACAAATTCACTAATTTCATTAGTGATCTAGAATCTGAAATACATCCTATCCAATTGACATAATAATGTTTCTGTTTAAAAATGCTTCAAAGTCCCAGAACGTTGGAACAACAACAACAACAAAAAAAAAGTTCTGTTTATTTCAAAACTGTTTATATCCAGGTTCAAATTTGATTCCCAGACTTTTAGACCCTGCTGTATATGCGGCCTGCATCAGTGTGTGTGGGACAGGATGATGTATGTGGTTAAGGAGAGTTATGTAACTGCTCTCCCGGCCCTCATGGCACTTGGCAGACACACTCCAACACCCTGAACTAATATATTCTCTCTCTCTCTCACACACACACACACACACACTCCCAGCAGCCTGTGCTGAGCTACTGCTGCGGATGAGACAGCGATTCTGCTCTTCGCAACGTCCAGTGCGCACACGCACACACACCAAAACTCTGTTCACTCTACAGTATAGAGACACAGACACATATTGCTGTGGTTTTCTGCATACAGAGCACATTCTCACTGGCTCATTCTTTCTCACACACAGGCCTACTGGCACTGACTGGATCCATTGCAGGATGATGTGTCACTTGCTTTGCATTTTGCTAAAAGCATTTTGCTGCAGCTCTGCTGTTAAAAGTTCTGCGCTAATCAGAAATGAGTGATGGAGAGTGAGAGAAAGAGAGGACAGAAAAGCAAAGAGAATAGGAAAGAGATATGCTACACACATTTATAATATGAAATGAGACACATATATACTAACCTGATCAAATTGTGCATCTTCTCCTCTTTGCAGTGAGCGGGAAAGGGGCTTCTCCTGAAAGAACAAAGATACAAACAGTACAGTGTAAATTAAAAACTGATAGATGGTTCTTAAAAAACTGTTTAACAGGAAAATGTAGGGATATATTATTATATAATTTCATTATAGATCATACAAGTTCGACAGTGATTTTTAATGCATTCTTTCATTTATAAATATACATCACAAATGTTCATGTATCCAGTACATTTAAAAAAAGTGACTTATTTATTTCAGTGTTTCCCAACCGGGGTGCTGTCTGTCGAGAGCAGGGGTGCCGTGTAAAAAATCATTTTATAATACTTTTAAATTGCTAAAATGTTCAAAAAAGCATCTATTGTGACAAAATTAATTTTGTAGGGTGCCACAAGTTTGTTAAAATTTCCAAAGGGTGCCGCGACTAAAAAAAGGTTGGGAAACACTGCTCTAACCATTAGGCCACGACTTCCATTTGTACGCTATTGAACACTATTAAATATATACTACGTTATAATTCATTTTCATCTGAATAAAAACCAGGTTAAGTGAAATAGTGATAAAATTGAGAATGACTTTGCTTCACTAATGTGAATTAATACCCCAACATGAGTCATTTAAGTGAGGAATTACCCCAGTTTTTAGACATAAATTTCAGGCCCTGAGAAATTTAATCTATCTTCAGTCCATTTTCAGTCATTTTGTAGTTAACGCAGACTGTAAAATGACTCAAGCACTCCTGGTTAATGGCTGTTATCTGGTTTACATTTGAACAAACACTTTACTATGAGGGAGAAGTTCAAAGTCAGAGAGCTGAACGTCAGTGTTTTCTAAAGCAGCTCCTCTCTGCAGCCTCTTGATACAGTCATTACAAGTTTAAACTCTTGCTGAGTAAACTGAGAGAGAGCTCAATCTACCACTGAGTAAACACACAAGGGGAGAGAGGAGGGACCACAGAGAGGAAGCGTTTAAGGACAAGTCTGGAGAGAGAGAATGTGTGTGTATTTCAGCACGAGGGGCTCTGAGAAGAATCCAACAGAACAGCATTCCAAGAATCCAAGCCCCTGCTTCTGTTTCTGGGAATACATGGGGAAGTGTATGTGTGTGTGTGTGTTCTATTCAGCCACAACCTATTATTATTAGGCGGCCCATTATAATTCGGCTATTATTATCAAATTGCCCCGCTTTTTCATTCAGCACTGTATTACACACACGCGCGGGCAAATGAGGAGCCTGTAGCCGGTGAAGGAGTCTCCAACCACAAACACAGACACATATCGTCTGCTGATATAAGGTATTTCGTTGCACTTAAACAAGTAATCTGAACGGCCTATATACAGGGCTCTAGACTGCGACCAATTTTTGAGAATGTGCGAGTTAAAATTTGACGTGGTCGCATTTGTGCGAGTGCATGATCTAAGCTGCTCCAAAGCATCTGCTTCATACAGCGTGCGCTGCAGAGCCGCGGCACATTGTAGCAGGAGTCAGATTTCACTGATCACGTGAAGAGAGGTGCTTTCAGCGCAGCGCGAAGGTGCGCGCCGCAGACGGAGTGCAACGGAGGATTTGGTTTACAAACTAAAGTAAAAAGACCGCTTCTTCGCCATGCCTCGTCTTATTCGTTTTTGTTAATAAAGGTTAGGTACGCTAGTTTGTCATTGCAGCCTACTGTTTTATTGTTGTAGTGCTTTTTAATTAGGAATAACAATAAATCCATCTTTTGTTTTAGTCTTAAAAAGTGAAAGGTGTATAGATATAAGCAAAACAGACAATTATCTTTTCTTGTAAAACGTGACACCAAGATCGCGAATTTGAAAGTGAAAGTGCATGAAAAGAGGAATTCCTGTTCAAAAAATTTAAATCACAAATAATACTGATGAAAAAGAACGGGTTGAATGTTGAACACTTTCGTTACCATATAACTATAAACTATGATAAAAGTTCATCAGCATGCATTGATTAATCAAATGTAGCAAAAAAAAAAAAGAGCACTATGAATTGTTCGTCACGAGCACAGTAACTGAAATTTAAAACTGTTAAAAGAAAAGGCTCAATAAACTAACGCACATATTTAATACACTACGTATCAATATCTCTTCACTTTGTGCTTTGAACTTTACTATGCTACGCGCTGCGACTCCGTGTCGCTTCAAGCGCGTCATTCAGCGCACGGGATGCGCATAAGCACTTTGAGCCGCTCTGTATTTGTAGCCTTTAGTATCATAATACTTTTGCGCAATGAAAGATTATTAATAGCCTTTCTTGTTCGTCTTATCTATCATTTGTTGTTGCCTCATTACTCTGCTATACATTTAAAAGAAATGTCTTTCAATTTATACAGTAGTCAACATTTGAAGTGGATCAAAACATTT